GGTCGGACACCTTTATTCAGGTATGATACAGTTTGTTCAAACTGCCCCTAATTTCTCGTCAATTCCCATAAATTCCAATGGAAAGTTTTTCATAGAAAATATTCTCAAAATTCCCCAGCTCAACATCCCATGGAAAGTTTCAAATGATCCTCCGCCCTTTGCAACCCTGCACACATCTTAAAAAAAAAGTTATTTTTTTCCTGACAAAAGGTTCAATTAAATCCTATTTAATTCAATTCAGTTTATTTATATAGTTCCAAGTCACAACAGAATCATCTCAGGGCCTATCCTAGATGTGACTTGAATTTCTGCAAGTTCTACTAAAATGACAGGACTAGAATTACTTCATACATCACACTGGACTGAAACAAACTATTCAACAAACCGTCTTGCTGCTCAGGATAAAGAAGTGTACCATTAAAGCCGTATCAGACTTGCTTCTGAATCCCATTCAGGTCTAATCTTATTAGACTGCTCGCATCTTACAGCACTTCAGCTCCTTTCAGTAGAGTCTGCAGTAAACAGCTCCAAGAACGCTGGTTCTGCACGAGTGCAGGAAAATAAACAGGAGAGTGACCCGCTCCTTGTCTCGTTTAGGTGTAAAACAATCAACATTTTATTGATGTATTATGGCAACTCTCAGTTGGCTGTTGCAATGCATAAATTGGTGACAATTAGTGTTAAAATATCAAAAATCAGAAAAAATGGCAGATTTTTAGGTTTAAAAATAAGTGACTATTTTTTTTACTCTCGCAAAAAGTGACTTCACCTCATTTGCATAGTTTGAGATAACCAAACTCTTGTTTTTACATCCTAACACATTCCAAGACCTACGGGAGGAAAATAGCCGAGTTTTCCCTCTAGTGAGGCTCACACGCCCTGTACCATCTTCGTAGGTAGAAAAGGTTTGTTTAGGTCGACACTGGGGGAAATGGTGCATCTAAATTTTCTAATGGAGCCTCACTGAACTTATTTTCAAATCCTGCACTTTTATGTGACACAGCAGCTAAAAGGTTGCCATTAAACCATTACATAGAACTTAAGGAAAAACAACCTCAGGCTAGCTGCCAACAAATACAAGCTGCATCAATAATTTTGAGAGAAAGCGATCGCTCAGGTGCAAACATATCAAGAACGCAAACGAGCAGAACAACGGCAGGAAAACAGCAATTACTCATTACGTATTTACAGTAACTGCAATATAACAACAGCATGAAGCTATTTAACTTTGTTGAAACTGGGCCTGTGAACAGATCCATCAGAGTCAGGACTGGTTTTTTTACACTAAGCTCGAGTTAAATGGTTTAACAGCTGGTGTGGCCATCCTGAGACGCATGGCAGGTAGAAGGGCAAAAAGTCAACAAGCATAGAAAGTTAGTCTCCTGGGGCTCTCGTGATGCACGGAGAAAAAGGAGAGAGGTGGAGAATGGGCCAAATTCTTTGATTCAAAAGACCGTGCGTCTGATAACACTCAACAGAAGTGGAAGCGTGACTCTCATGACAGGATATGACGGCATACGCATAAAACCTACAGTTAAACTTTCAGCACTTCTGCAGTCCTGCGTGGTTTCTCCTGTGGAACCTGGCAGAAACCTCCCTACATTAACCTCCGTTCCCTGCCAAGACCACATCTGCCTCGTATCTGGCCCTCCCAGTCGCCTGCTACACCCCAGACCCCTCCCTCCAGTAAGAAGAAGCTCTAAAACAGGCGCCTGGTTTACATCAAGTGTTCCTAACAGCCTTGTGCTGACTCTCCGAGGCCCTCTGCAACCCTCTCCACTCCAGACGGACACAAAC